CAATGGCGAACAGAGGAGGCAGATCGGAGAAAGTGAAGAGAATTTTCCAGCAATTCGACGGAAATCGTGACGGTGGGTTAAACCGAGAAGAGATGTCGTTTCTCGTCGTATCTGTAAACCCTAGAGTGAAATTCAGCGAAGAACAGATTAGTGCGATTCTCGACGAAGTTTTCCGAACATACTCTGAATTCATCGACGGTGATAAAGGTTTGACTTACGACGGTCTTCTTCGGACTTACGACGACGGTGCCGGTGATGTTGATCGTGATTTCGAAGCTTTAGGGATTGAATTAACCGCTGATGAAACAAAGGAAGAAGAAGCTTCGTCGTCTTCGATTACCGACGAGAAAGGTGGTGTTGAGTCACAGAGGAAACAGAGAACCGCTGCTTGGGCGGTTTCTCCTAACGACGGGATTGTTTTCGACGAGACGTGGAAACTCGTCGACGATTTGGAGATTCTTGTTAAGAGATTGAAATCGAAGCAGGAGAAAGATGGAAAATTGAAATCGGATGGTAATGGTAATAACAATAACGTTGATGCGTTTTCCGACGCCGGTTGGTCGAGAGAGTTAGGTCCGTCATCTGATGTGTCCGATAAGAGAATCATCTATTGGGAAGAATCGAGTCACGATTATGCGGTTTTCGTTAAGGAATTAGGAGTGTTGAGGAGTAAATCAGACGGTGCTAGATCAAAAGAAGAAGCTTTTGATGGACATATGGCGATTGGTAAGGTATTGTATGATCATCAATTGTTTAAAGAAGCTCTTGTTAGTTTCAAGAGAGCTTGTGAATTGCAACCAATAGATGTGAGACCTCATTTTAGAGCTGGGAATTGTTATTACGTTTTGGGGAAATGTAAAGAATCGAAAGACGAGTTCTTGTTGGCGTTGGAAGCTGCGGAATCCGGTGGGAATCAATGGAGTTACTTGCTTCCTCAGATTTATGTCAATCTTGGTATCTCTCTTGAAGGTGAAGGTATGGTTTTGAGTGCTTGTGAGTATTATAGAGAAGCTGCGATTCTGTGTCCTACGCATTATAGAGCTTTGAAGCTTCTAGGTAGTGCTCTGTTCGGTGTAGGAGAGTATAAAGCGGCTGTGAAGGCCTTAGAGGAAGCTATATATATGAAAACGGATTACGCGGATGCGCATTGTGATTTGGCTTCGTCGCTTCATGCTATGGGTGAAGATGAGAGGGCTATTGAAGTTTTCCAGAGAGCTATAGATTTGAAACCTGGTCATGTCGATGCACTTTATAACCTCGGTGGACTTTACATGGATTTGGGTAGGTTTCAAAGAGCTTCTGAGATGTATACTAGAGTTTTAACGGTTTGGCCTAATCATTGGCGGGCTCAGCTTAACAAGGCTGTGTCTTTGTTGGGTGCGGGAGAGACCGAAGAAGCTAAGAGGGCTCTAAAGGAGGCGCTGAAAATGACAAACCGGGTTGAGTTGCACGATGCGATATCTCATCTGAAACAGTTGCAGAAGAAAAAGGTTAAGAAAAATGGTAATAATGCGATTGAAGAAGGTCCGTTTATCATCGTGGAACCTTCCAAGTTTAAGACGGTGGGCGAGAAGACTACCATGAGACCAGATTTAGCAATAGCTCTTCAAATAAGGACTTTCCAGAGAGTTACAAGACTCGGGAAGTGCGATGTGGAAGCACTAAGAAGAGAAATGAGAGACAACGATGTTCCGGTATCTTATTCCGGCAATGGCGGGCCTACAAAATCTATCCGCAGACCAAACTTAGAAGAGATTCTCCGGCGTCTCCTTACTGTCCTGAAACCCGAAACTTTCCAAGGAGTGATCAAAGCCATAAACGAGAAAATCCTCTCGGTTCTTGATGATTCAGGGTCGGGAAGAGTCGATTTAGGAATGTTCTACGCAGTGATTGCTCCTTTATGCGGTGGCCATCCAGACAAAAGGAAAAGAGTTGCATTTGATGCGCTTCTTTGGAGACCAGGAAACGAAGGAAGCTCTCAGATCACAAAAGTCGAAGCCATCAAATACTTCAAACTCTTGAGAGCTATCTACCTACCGTCACAAGGAATGAGTGAAATGTTAGAAGTTCATGGAGAAACCGATACTTCAACGGTAACATTCAACCAGTTTCTAGGGATGTACGATGATTCAGAATGGGGATTTGGTATCATGTCCACTCTTGTTAAACTCGAAAGAAGAGATAGGAATCGACACGGGAACCAGGTTTGCTCGGTTTGTCGGTATCCGATCATCGGGTCTCGGTTTAAGGAAGTGAAAACCGGTTTTAGCCTCTGTAACCAATGTTACAGCGAAGGGAAGATTCCTCCAACGTTTAAACAGCAGGAAGAATATAAATTCAGAGAATATGGGAATGAAATGGAAGCCATGAAAGCTAAGTGTGTGTGTTTTTCAATGCAGTCTCATAAAAAACCGATTGCCACTTGAAAACAAAAGCTTTTTGTGGTCTAATTTTTCCACAGCTCTTGTTCCTTAATTTGTAGTTTCTTTTGATTTTAAGTTGTGTGTATAGTTTTGATGAAGTGTTTGTTAGTGAGAAACTATGG